TTTTTACCTTGTAAAGCACTTTGTGACATATGTCTGTGAAAGGTGCTATATAAATAAAGTTTACTTACTTACTTACTTACCCTTGAGAGGTTACACAGATAGTCCAAGTTCTCCACAACAGCACATCAATATTTGCCATTGTCCCTGTGTTTATGGTGTTGTAAACATGTGTGGCCCTTAAGCATGCATTAGGAGACATGTCTGACCTGTAATAACATGGAGCTGCACTCACCTGTGCCACTCAACTGAAAGAAGCCAAACATGCACTTTAGTACAACAGTAAACATTTTTCATTCTGATGAGCGGTGGTGTAAAACACAAAATCCCACACATTCAGTGTTCTAAGTTTGCAGGGAAACAAAAAACCCAAAACCTTTATGATTATGGAAGAATAATAGAGCTGCTCCTATAATGATAATACCAACATCTTAGCTAATATCCAAAAGCTTTAATGCTTAAACAAGCAACATGTAACTCATAAACCCTTCATTCATAGCATCACACCAGAAACTGTGTGAAATGTAAGAGTGGGTTCTCTTAGTTCAAGCATAAATTTATTCCTTGACTGTGGTTAATAATTCATACTTGTATTTTAAAGGCGGTAACAACTTTATCTATTTTTAAAAGCTACAGACTTTTTATATCAGCCTGTCACTCAAATATCACCCACTCTCCAGCTCAGTACAGATTCAACAGTTAATGGGTGTGGTGAGGCATGGTCGGCGATGGCGTGCGGACGCACCTGCACGTCATCTGCAATCACGCCCGCCGTGGTAAAACACAGGGGAGCAGGGGTCTGCGCCGGCCGGAGGAAGAGGAGTGGCTGATCAAGCCGGGAGCGGCGCGGTGACAGAGGAGACGGAGGTCCCAGAGCCAGGGGAGCCTGCTCGATTGGAGCTGGTGTGCACCAAGCTTGAGATCGGCGTGCTCGCCGATCTCACATCCACCAGAGGCCAGTGCACATATGCCCAGCTGGCCGTGAGCAGGGGCTCACGACCGTGCCTGCGGGATTGTGCCAGCCCGCCAAGTGGCCGGCCTCCAGACCAGCATCTTCCGGAGGCCGCCCACGCCTGTCACCGGGTTGGAAACTGGTTGGGGGAGTAGGTCCGGCCGGATGGCTCACCGGCCTCAATCAGGCGATGGGGGTGCGTGGTGAGGCGTTGTCGGTGATGTCGTGCGGACACACCTGCACGGCATCTGCAATCACGCCCACCGTGGTAAAAACGGGGGAGCGGGGGTTGTGTGTTGTAAGTTGTGGTGTGATGTGCGGCTGGCAGCTTAAGAGCTGCAGCTGATGACAATAAATGGCTCTAAATGATGATGTGTGGTCCCGCCGTGCCTTATTCACACCACAATGGGATTGACAGAAAACTCTCAAAGCTTTTGCTAAAAAAAACAACAACAAGGAGGAAGAGGAGACGTTTACACTGAGATCTAAGCTTCTGGAGGGCATGTATTACTATGGCACAGAGAATCACTCATGGTTCAGCTGTACTTGCCCCTGAGAGGATGCTAATCAGACCGTGAGGACTTTAGAAGAACAGTCTGTGAGGAAGAAACATCAAGCTGCTCTTTTTCCTTTAAAAAAACGAAAGAAAGCAGAAGACCCTTTTGTAAGAAGGGATCACGTCCGTCGACCTTATTGTTGTTCAACCCCCCACAAAAAACCTCTCTCCAATCATTTGGTAAGCACCGATTTAACTGCTGTTGACTCACCTGATTGTTAAGGATGACAATTATGTTTATTTATGTCCACTTAATGAATATGTCCAGTGCTGGAGAGCTTAACATGGTCAGTATTGAGTGGACAGACTGGCCATAAAAATGGTCTACCAAGGCAAATAAAGATGGAGTGAAGAGCAGAAGAGGTTATTAGGCAGAGAATTGAGGTTATCATATTGGGCTTTGAGAGATGTCGGGCGCTATTGTTAAATGAATGTCTTGCTGCTTAGAGGAAGAGGCGTCTCTGGTATTCAGGACTCAGCTCGTACCAGCTATTGATTACATCCAGTGAGCAAAAGCTCCACGTGATCGCCGAAACAAAATAAAATCACTCGTCTTCGTCTAGCTCCCCATGTCTGCACTGTCAGCACAGTAGGACAAATCAAGCCTCATTTCCATCCCTTCAGAAGCTGCCACTTACCCACTTGGTGCCATTCATTTTGGTCCAAGGCGAGAAATAGCTTTCCCACTCTCAAAAAGTGCTCATGACTCTTTGTCACAACAAACACAGCGACTGAATTTTTGGTCGCTCTTATCCAGTTTCACCACACTGGGCTCTGCTCTGCCACAACAATACTTCTCACATGTGACATTTTTACAAGAATGACAAACTAAACTTGCACAAGTGTGCAGGAGACATTATCTCTCAATATAATAAGGTAACTGAAAGAACTGCTGCTGGCTGGAATGAAATCATTTATTTTGACATAACTACAGAAAAATCATACATGCTTTCCATAGATGATTTCTGTGTCAGTCTAGAAATGATTGAGCATGACTGTTTGATATCATCAAACTGGGTCACAGCTGTTGCGAAAGTGTCTTATTTTGATGACCTAATTGAGAAACATTCGGCGATGTTTAAATCACCTCAAAGTTTATCCCTTACTACTCTAATTAGTCTTGACAGCGAACTGACCTGATTTTATCGGCCCGCTTCATGTCAGTTTAAATGAGGTAACAACCTGAACCTCGACTGTAAGCGCTGATAGGTGTGCTGAAACCCCACATGAATTATGGAATGGTGAAAAAAGCAATATGAAAATTTACAAACACCCAAATGTTGCATCAGAAAGTATACATGAGAGCGCTCTCATTGAAATTCAGATTGCGCTTTCTGAAGCACTTATATATTTACCTCATTTTAGTATGTAAGTATAGGTCCATTCAAACTTGTATATCCACCAGTTTACAACAGTCAAGTGTTATTTGTACTAAGAGTGAGTCTAAAAGAAGCCAAATGCACGAGACCATCACAAAACACATCTTGTTAAAATGCACCGTGCAGCTGGGAGTCAGTTTTGGATTTATTAAGGACAAAAATGAGCCAAGCAGAAACTGGTGCACATTTTTATTTATTCCAGCATCTTTGTACTCTGCACCATTGTCGATGTCAAACTGTCAGTCGTGTCTATTGTCTACTCTGTTACATATTTGTACACATACTTGGTCAGTCCAGTCTTTAAGTGATGACGTGATGAATCCTGCTTCCAGGTCCAAACTACTCTGCGTTTATTAAGACTTGTGTTTCTAACATGTTTTAATGCTTTGTATCTTGTTCTATTTCATCTGAAAAAGCCCAAAACAGTCAATGATCACTGTCACCTCCCTCAGTTTTTATCATCACTGTTCATTTTAAAGCTCCGTTTTAAACCCTTACGATGTAACTACAGCCCAGCCTATGCAGCAGTATATTAATAACTAACCTCATATTATGGATGGATTATCTCAGTTGTTCTCCTGACTGAAGTTTGGTCCGTTTACAGCATCCTGCCATGCGATTACATTTGTCTCAAACCATCAGGAACCCCCACGTTAACTTTTATCGAGTGGAAAGAAGTTAGCGTTCATCCTCCAGCTTCACTGTGTTTATGTTATGCTAACATAGCTGTGTAGCTATCCACCACGTAGCACACCATTATATACCAGCTAGCCCAACTTCAGTAACTCTACAAACGTCACTGCTGTTTAGTTTTCTGTCTTCATTTATGTTGGAAGTGATAGCAGAGCTGTACGTTTGAATTTTTCTAGAAATCTCTCAGTCAGAACATGCTATATCATGCTTAGGTGGAAGCTAGCGAGCTAACTTCCTGCTAACTTCTAACTCCCTTATATTTAATAAATTCTGTTTTCATGGATGCCTGGATGTTAAACTTCATTGTTACACCTGGTAAAGCAGCAACGCTGATCATTTTATTAAAGATGAAAGAATTTAGACAGTTTTTAACTCTCAGTGATGCTGTGTTTGTTTGACCTGACGTGGAGTTTGGACCCAGAAACGGCTAATGACGTCAGACGTAAAGACCGAATACAGCCTATTCTGATTCCAATTCTTCATCATCAAAACCATAAGTGGAAAAATCTGCCTGAAACCGAGTGCAGAGTATACAGAAGAAGAATATTATTTGATCAGTGCATTTTGGTTCGTGGCTTTCATTGGGTTCATCAGCAGGAGATTTCACTTTACAATGCCTGCTTATACCACTTAACAAGTGCTAATTTACTCAGGTGTCCTAAAGTGTTAAAGTAAAAGCAAATCTTAAAATGTGGTTTGAATGATAGCACACATGCTGTCCCTTGAGTTTTCAGTCTGCACTTTCTTTTTCTTCACTCTCTCTTCTTTCCAGACAGAATTTCAGTCATTAAAATATTTATTTGTTGTTGTTATTTCTTGTTTTTCTAGAGAGCCCATTGACATTTGCAGCTCACCTGGACAATGCGGGGGAGATCATAAAGGTGCTGAAGAATGGAGGAGCTCATTTGGACTTCAGGGCAAAAGATGGCATGACTGCTCTTCACAAAGCTGCGAGGTCGAAGAACCAGATTATACTCACGGTGAAGGCTCCTCTCCTTTCATTTGTTTAGCACTTGCTTACTTGTGCATTGCTGGCTTTCTTTGTGTTTGAAGCCCAATGAAAGTCTGACAGCTGATAGATCATGCTCGAAGATGTTTTGCTGCAACGTAACCGACATGCACTCTTAATGCATGCAGACCTGTCATTTCACAGCATGTTGAGCTGATTAAGGGATGATGCCTCTAACTGTACTTGTACTCGTGAAGTGAAGGCTATAAGTGAGTGTAGACAAGACTTCTGCAAGAGAAACCAAAAGTGTCCTTTTTTAATCTTTGAAATCTCACAATGGACAGACAGTTTCATAATGGTGTGTGTGTGTGTCATGTGCACATGCATCAGCTTTTATATCAGCTTTTAACAGCTTTGAGTCTGTAAAAATATTTTGATTATAAATTTATGTAAATGTTAAAGAAACTTGGTTCCAGAAAACTGTTTTAGTGACTTTAGGTGAACTGAAATATCACTCACATTTGCACACAGCACGTGTGCAGGTTTGCGAGCTCTTTGCAAACCTGCATTATTTGTCATCTGCATGAATATATTCCAGCACTATACCTTGCAGTCACTGAGTTGGCCAACGACTCCAATCTACATTAAAGTATTAATAAGTGAAATGTGAGGCCTGTCTGACAGCTTGGCCAAAACTGGGTCATGCCACAGGAAGTTCATCCCAAGTATGCTAAGTGGAAAAAGAAAGAATCACAGCTTATCTGCTTTATGCTAATGTAGAAGCTACCTGTCTAACTTTATCTTACCTGTCCATCCTTAGACGCTGCTAGAATTGGGAGCTTCTCCAGACTACAAGGACAGCCGGGGTCTTACTCCCCTGTATCACAGTGTGGTGGTGGGTGGGGACCCAGGCTGCTGCGAGCTTCTACTGAACCAGCACGCTTCTGTGTGTTGCCAAGACGAGAACGGCTGGCATGAAGTTCACCAGGTACGACCCTGTGCACGACGTGCACCTCTAGACACGCACATAAAAATAGATTAAAAAAAATTTCCTCTGTGGTTATTTGGAACAGCTTGTATTAGTAAGGCACGCACACACATAGCCTTTCTCCGGCTGTGGGCGACTGTCTTGGCAGCTGTTACCCGTTGAAGTAGATAAAGGCATTTAAAGAGAGCCACTCTGCAGCAGGAACAAACTGTGAGCATCTCCACAAAGCGTGTGAGAGGTTGCGTTCAAGCCATCTGCTTTATCAGATTCCTTACATCTCGTTATCCTTGTGGAGCTGTCAAAAACTCTGCCCTCCCCCAACTGTCCCATTTCACACATCATAACACTCTGCTGTCAATTAACAATTACATGTATAGGATGGCTGATGGGGGTTCAGACTGTAAAGTTTTCTTTACTAATCCATAAAATTCTGGAAAATGCCATCAAGGAACGTAACGAATATGCTGGTATGTTTCATGCTAACAGGCAAACAAAGCGCTGAGCGTTAGTAATGTAACAAACTTCATGGACACAAGAATGTTATCCCTTCACTGGACAGTAATGGCTTTATTGTATTGTTGGTGTGAGGGACCAAGCAGCCAAAGCAAAGAGGACACAGGCAAAAAATATCTTCAAAAAGGGTTTTCTTTATTTTAACCCTCAAAAAGTTCAAAATTAAC